TCCCTTTGAACTATTGTAAACTTTTCACATCCGCAACATCATTTGTCAAAGTCTCTTGCCAGTTGTATGAGAAATCAACCCTTAAAGCCCATCAGAAAGAGGCTCCTACTAGTTTCATTTGCTGGGCCTTGTTCTTTTATTGGGACTTGGTGAATAGCCCCTGTTTGCCCTACTTTCCCACATCACTTATAGCTTTGTAGATTTCCATCATATGCCCTCTAAGTCATCCCAGCTGGAAGAGTCTGAGCCTTGACAACTGCTTTTCTTGATAATTCTGTCAGTATAACAGGGAACATATTTTTAAAAATTTAAAAATCCATCAAATTACTACTTTATAAACCTGTCGATAAGTTAACAAATATATCCATCACAGTCATCACAATGGACAGGAGATTTTACTTTTAAGATTCCTCTTTATGGAAATTTATTCTGCAACCGTTTTATGGAACTACATTTTAGCTTCTGTGAATTCCTCATTGCAATAGCTATTTCAAGTATTTACTCTTTCTGCAAGGCTCTGTGTATGGCTTCCTTTCTGAACATTTATGAAAAGAAACATATCCCAAAAGATATTAATGGTACAAACATTTATGCAAATACTTATTAGCATGAACACTTCCTGCTTATAAAGGAATTTTTATTTCCTCTTTTCACAAACATTTTTGAATATGTGAGGAAGAATTATATGTGATTATAGAAAAAAATAAAAGTGGAAATCACTTCAAATTTTATTTGAATTTTGATTTTAAAATAGTCTTTTTATACTGTCATCACTTTTAAAGTGAATAGGGGTAGTTATGATAATCTAGTTTGACCTACAAAACACCAAAAATTTCACAAAGTATCTCATGAATCATGACCATTGTATCAGTATGCAATTCCCTGTATCCATCAGGGAATGCCAGGAACAATAATCTTTTAATGAGATAATAAGATCTACAAAAAAAATCTACAATTTCTGAAACTGTCAAGGAAGTTCTACTTTGGCAAAGCACATACTACATTATAACAATCGTATTGAATTATATTACTATCAAGTATGCCATATACCTTTTCTAATCTAATTACTTACTGAAAGATAAACAATATCATTTTATAGTTGGTGTTTTAAATAATGATAGGGAGTTTACAGTACATTCAAGATATAGATAAATTGATTTGATAGGCGATGTAAGTAATTCGATAAGAATGGTGTCGGATTCAGTAAAGAGGATATCTAATTTTATGGATAGTTGAGGGAAGGATGAATTTATTTCAGTCACAGAGAGGAATTCAGTCTAAACTGCAAATTCACCTCTTATATTTGCAGGATATCTGAATGTTTCAAAAGCTATATATGTTCCATTTTAACTTTCAAATGGTAAGGTTTTTAATCTTTAAAGGGTTTAACCACTGAATTTTTTGCCAATTAATAAAATTTCTAGTCTTAATATTTACCAGATTCAGGTTTAAAACCACATATGAAGTGATCTCAATAAACTCTCTCATTTCGTTTCTGTCAGACAGGGCTAAAACATTCCTTTTTGATGTATGAATTAATCTTGTTATAGCCCAAAGCACTTATTTTAACTTCAATATTGCCTCAGGGAGGGTCTTTATCAGTTTGAAAGGGCACTAGTTTTTTTAAATTATTTTTTACTGCAATAATACTTAAAATTATACTGAAATTAAATGTTTTCTTTCAGAAAAAGGATGAAAATATAAAAATTTATTTTAAATGCATAATCGTATGCCTCAGTTCCTTAATGCTCCTCCTCTTTAGCTGATGCTAGACCATTGGGCCTGTCACCCTAAAGGGTTTATCCATATCTAGACCAGTGACTTCTTTCTGACATATAATTATGAGAATGATAGGGGCAGGGCAAGGTTCTTACAGCAATGGAGTGTTCAATTTAGATAAAAGATAGGTAAAATGGGCCATGGTAGAGAACACAGCTAAGGAACTTCAATTCACGTTTTTCCATAATAGTGGCTTCAGTAAAATGGAAAGCTAGCAACATCAAAGTTGAGAAGTGAAAACATTTCTTACACAGTTAGCCAGTGTGACTCTGCCACAAGGTACCATGAAGACTTCAGATCTTATCAAGGTCAGAAAGAGACATATATATGCAAACCCCAAATCCACAAGTTGTAATAACAAATATCAAACAACAAGAGCTAGAAAAGGGATATAAATTCTTGCCCCGAGTGCAGCTGCTAGCTGATGGACAGTGAACTTTTCCTGTAGGAGAAGGGAAGAATTAAGTGTCACTCAGGTTCTGCGTGGCTGTTTATGTCCCTTGGTCAGAAGGCATTTAGTGTTATGTAGTCAAATGGCAAGTGTCAAAGAGACTCATGCCAGAAGAACTTTACGACTCTCATACTCTACCAAAAAACAGCTTAAAGTTTCAAGGGTAATGAAACCATAGCATTTGTTTGTTTCACGTTGCAGTTCCCTAAATATCCGTACTTAGTTCAAATAACCTTTCAAGGATGCCACAGCTCAGTCTCCAGTCTATTATGCATGCATCTAGATAGCCTCATGGACATGCACAGTTCTCTTGGAAAAGCTTGCAGCGAGATTATTGACATGTATGCGTTTTCTGCTCCAGACACTTTGAATGTGTAGTTTGTGGTAATGACTCAGAGAGTTTTTCACATCATGGGAGTGGACAGGGAGTTTTTCTAGCTTTTATAACACTGTTGTGCTGATTGTTTCACTGTTTCAATTACTTCACTAGAGGGTAGGTGAATTTAACCTAGAGTTTCACATCAGTAACGCCTTCA